GTACTTTTTTTCAATTCATGATTAAAATGCAGTGGTTGCCTCTAATTTCAAATGGCTATGAAAAATCAAGGTGCAACACAGAGTGAAGAATATGCAAATGTTATTTTATGTGATTTTTCAATTTCTGTACCTGAACATCTACAAACATAAAAACCTAAAGCACAATTTCATTTCTATATTTCTGCTATAGGCCTATATTTAATTGTGCTATTACTTGTAATATGTTATATATTTGTTCTTATTTACTGGCTGTCACTTGCCTTTAATGTTTAAAACTTTATATTTATGTTTATTTTTGGCTAGTGATTTTTGCTGTGGTATCAAAATTGAAATAGAGAATTGTACAATTTAATTGGTATCTAAAATATTGGTGTCATATAAGCTTATTTATTAGAATACAAGATAACAGATCAAAAACAGTGATAACGACAACTATTTTATTTTTTGTGGCAGGGCCAGTGAAAATGTTGGCAGGGCAAGTAAAAATTTGAACCACTGTAGAAAAAATCCTTAGCGTTGATCCCTGCTATATAATGCAGAATATCGTGGAATTTGGCAAATTCTGGATGAATAAATCAAAATAAAGGCTATATTAAACTGCAAAAAAATTTAAATATAATGTCTGCATGTTCTGCCTTTCTCTGTGTGATGAATGGCAGTTTTGTCTACTACACATATACTGCATGCGTGACGCTCGTAATTTTTTACAGTGATTGCCATCTCAATATATTAGGATATGAACTCCATAATGTCCAGAGCTGCTCTGAGAATCACTTCACCAGCATTTCACCATTTCATTTGAGATAACTATTGCCAGATACACACAGAAATGCAATTTTGTAATTGAGTTTTTGGCACGAAAATAGCCCCAGATGCTGACATGGCATTAAATAAAATTATACTACTACTACTATTGTACATTAAAATGCACTTCTCAGAGTAATAAAATTAAAACTTTATTTAAATGAATAATCACACTATTTTCCTCCATGTTTTAGTTTTAACAGTAAATCTGTTGCACTATGTTTTCAAAAAAAAAAAAATATATATATATATATATATATATAAAATAATTTTGATTACTTTTTAAAAGATTAAATTGTTGATTACCACTTCATTTTTATTGTAGCTGTATTACGTACGGGGTCCTTGGCCCTAGAACTCGGCAATAAATTATATCATACTGAGATAAAATTTATGTCTATAAAGATAAGCGCTGGACGTTTTTACTCTGTATGGCTTAACCTAACAGCAGAAATGAATGCAACAACAGCCAGTCAGTGCTTGTCGCTAATAGGCTAAGGCCCAATCCCATTTCTACCCCTTAGCCCTTCCCCTTTCCCCTAGCCCTCCGTTTTGCGCGTTCACGTGAAGGGGTATGGGTGTCTCGATTCTCTTTTGGTTGGAGGGGTAGAAGAAGGGCCAGACAGCCCTTCAAACGAAGATTTTTCAGGACTACACTTCAAACGAAGGGGTATGAATCATCTCAGCGTAAACGGCAACATGGCTGCCCAAGCGAACAAAAAGAACCATAAATGTGAGCATTTTTGGCATTAATAAAGATTTTAATGAAAAGTAATCATTTGTTTTGTTACATTCAATCGTGAGTTCATATTTACAGTCATATTATTCTAAGAAATGTTTGCAAAAAATCGCTAAAGTTTGCTAACGTCATATCATTAGTGCCACAACATATTTTCATGTCTGATCAGGACGATAATCACCATAGACACTGAGGGGGGGCTAGTCCCCCAATAATTAGAAATCGCTAAACCTTTTTCTCAAATATTGACAATTCGATAGAGAGAGAGATGAAAGTTGCGTGTATGCGCGTCTGTGCGTCTCTCTTTACAACAAATGAGTTTACTTCAAAAACAGTGATTTTATCCTCTTGTTGCTGGAAAATATAATGTAGCGATTCAATATTTAAACTGTTATTAATAAAAGTTGCGGGGTAGCGTTGACAAGTTTCTTTTCTCCTAGATGTGTGAGCTGCGCGATCTCTGTGTGTGTGTGTGTGTGTCAGTAAGCAGCACATTAATATAGAACGGTAATTAAAGGTTCTAATGCACACCAGCACAGCAGTAAAGGTGTGTATTGTAGGAGCTAGATGACATATGATGACGTGTGACGGCATAGTAGTGGTGTCCCAATTCTTAGGGGAATATTTTCACCCCTACCCCTTGACACTTTGTTTCAAGGGACCAGGGGAAGGGGTATGAAATAGAATTGGGTTTGGGCCTAAGTTTATGTTAGAGATGCACCAATCAACTGGCCAGGGACTCGAATCAGCCAAATTTCCGCATGCTCGGAAAATCGGCTGGTCAGTCTCATGTTTTTCCGATTCCGAGCCAGTTCATTTTGTGTGATAGAGAGAGTGATAGAGAGACTCGTGGAGAAATCAAAACAAATGAGCACAACAGCACACACAAAGTAACTCACAGAAAGATATAGAAGCATACTGCAGTAGAAAAAAGAAAATTATATATGATATAGGTAAGCAGCATCACAGGACCAAGGTTTTTCCCCCAATATCAGCTTGATTGCAGTGACATTGATTTTTTTATAATAGTAGTCCAATAAACAAGTTAATATTAAGTGACTTACATTTTAGACACAGTATTGACTGTTTGCTCAATTTCACTAACGAAAAAAGTTACAAGCCACAGAAGAACTGTGGTGTCTCCAAGCAACACAGCGGTGTTTCGTTTCTGAATCCACGTTTTTGAACGAATCGAGTGAGTCACTGATTCAG